CATATGTTTTTATCTTATAAATTTTTACGCTTAATCATGCTCACCAAGATTTTTATGTAAACAACTGTGAATACAATTAAACTTATTTTCGTATGTTTAGTTAATATATTATTCAAAAAACATTTTCGATGAAAATAATGGACTTACACTTTTATATGAATTTTTGTTTTTATAAAGTACTGATTCGATAATTTGCGGTGTAATTAATAAACATATCCGGAAATTTTCACACGGTATACACTAACATCGAAACGAGAGAAGTATTTCCTATGTAAAATAAATATATCTCTTAAATTCTAAGCAATTCTAGAATCTATAAATCCGTTAAATTTGAACGAGCAATTTCCGATTTATCAGAACTGCCATCTATTTCCTAGCCGTCTTGGCGGTAAGAAAGCGCGGGTATCGTCAACAGCACAACAAAACTGGTTCAAGCACGCCGGTCGTTATTAGATGAGTCTAAGTGCCAGTACTTGTTGCCTTTATCTGTTCGTTGTTTAATTACTTAAAATCGCATAAGAACAAGCCGGGACAATGTTTGAAGCACGTTTAGTACAAAGTGCCATCCTGAAGAAGGTATTGGATGCGATAAAAGATCTTTTAACCGAAGCGACTTTCGAATGTTCCGACTCGGGTATACAAGTACAAGCCATGGACAATGCCCATGTCTCTTTGGTTTCTCTCAGCTTGAGAAGTGACGGTTTTGACAAGTATAGATGCGATCGAAATTTATCGATGGGCATGAGCATTCCGTGGTAAGATTTCATTGTACCATTCATCAAGGTTATACCTCTTTTTTCCAGAAGTAGAATGAGACGAACACGTTTTCAAATTTTTAAATGATAACTAAGTAACACTCTTTTTCAGCATGTCAAAAATTTTACGATGCGCTGGTTCAGACGATACAGTTACTTTGCGGGCACTGGATAATCCAGAGACAATTACGTTCATTTTCGAATCGCCGAACAAAGAGAAACTTGCCGAGTACGAAATGAAACTGATAAACATGGACCAAGAACATCTTGGCATTCCTGTAAGATTCCTTGCGGATATTGTTACGAAAATTTTGTTGCACTTCATACAATTATGTAGTTTAATCACTTTTACAGGAAACCTCATATTCGTGTGTCGTAAAAATGCCATCTCAAGAATTTACTCGCATCTGTAGAGATCTGAGCCAATTCGGAGAGTCGATAACGTTTGCATGTTCTAAGGAGGGCATAAAGTTCAGTGCCGCTGGGGATTACGGGCAAGGTTTGCCAATTTGTCTTATTTAACACACACACACACACATATTAGACATTATGTACTTACATCAATTATATAACAATAGTTGGATTGCTTAAGCATTTTGAAGTATTCTCTTGAAGCACTAAATCCTTATGGCAACTGTTTGAAATTAAGTAATGTGTTAGAGAGCACTTTCTCATTTGACCGTCCTGTCGCAAAGATAGAGGTCATACACGTGTTTCAGTCTGTTTACTATTTACATTTAGTCGAAACGCTTCCAATGGTGAAATTCATTGAAATACGAATTACTTATGAAAAATGTATATTGAAATATGTAAAAATATATTTATACAATTAACATTGTACGTTATGCTTGTACTTAGATAAATTATTCTCTCGATTTTAGCCACTGTCAAGTTAGCACAGACGGCGGATACGGATAATGAAGAGGAAGCTGTGGTCGTTAATATGCAAGAATCGGTAAAGTTAACGTTCTCGTGTCGTTATCTCAACTGCTTTGTGAAGGCTGGACCTCTCTGTGCACAAGTACAACTATCAATGTCTAACGACGTGCCCTTGGTGTGCGAGTACACGATCGGAGATATCGGGCATATTAGATATTATTTGGCACCCAAAATTGAAGATGATGAAGAGAACTAAGGTTTTTAGAACTTTTATTTCAGTATATAAGATATCTCAGTGTTTGCCGTGTCGCGCTTCATCAGTATATCAGTTTTTGCCTACTGTAGGATACACTGATGAAGCGTAACAGAAAAACGTAGGACACCTTGCACGAACTTGTCACGAGGCATTTCGATTCTTTTTCCGTTATATTTGTCGCGCTACATATTTTTTTAAAGATCTTGGAATAGAGTAATGGCACATCGCTTAGATAAAAAAAAGGTATATTTTGTTATTCACTACTGAGGAATGATTAAGGATGATTAAAAATACTTTTAAGTTAATATATTTAAATTTTACATTTAAAAGTCGTTTGGCTCGTCACAGTGTTAGCGCAACATAGAATTGACACTAAGATTCATAATAGAGTGACACGATCATGATTACCATTGTTAAACGCAGTGTCATGTATGTCATTCTTAAAGATTTATATTGTTATCATTCCATAGACTGTGACAATATTTTGATAATATTGCGTTTTTTTATATGTAAGAACTCAATATATTTCCAAAACGTTTGATAAATTTCGAATTATACGTTATTTCTTATGCCCTAGCCTAATCGAAGTTCGAATTTTTTTACTTACTTTTAATTACCTTATTTCTTATACCTTTTGTGTATAAGCTAGTTTAATATAAAAATACATAATTACGCTTACGAGCTGAGAGAATAAGAGGGCTACCGTGGATGGAATAGCCTAGATGTATACAGTTTAAATCTTACATAATTTAGATTTCGTATAGTTACTAAATAACCATATGTTTTAATCATTAGATGTTGATTTAAACTATGAATTATTTTACACGCACATACTGCGAAGACCTGTATATCGTTAATTCTTATCCTTACACGGTTAAATTAAATTTTCAATCAAAATAAATATTCTCCATCTCCTTTCATTGTCGAAAGAACGAATTGAAGTTGCAAAGAAACAAGACACTTTGGCAATAGTAATCAGCCTCTTTGGTTTTAAAGCCCTGATATTGCTTGTTTAGAACAAAATAGCATCGCATTTTCAAAATAGAACAACCTTATTCTTACACATAATCAAGAGACAAATTATACACCAACATGTAGAATCATTGAATGTAATTCAAGGAACGAATACTGAAAGTTTAATGAAACTTAATTAAGCTGTCGATATCTGTTCATTTTCAAAGGAGATGTCACGCATCAACATTTAATTATTTGGACCGATTCGACATGCTTATACGGGATTATCAATGCATATACTGTTCCTTCAGTCTGTGAACGTAATTTTAGAAGGTATATGAGACGCCGTGTGACATTTGTCTTGTAAATGAAATACTAACGAGAGAAAAGAACATGTACAATTGAAGGATTATTTAAGAGCTTAAGCATTCGAATTACCGTTACTTCCGTACAAGCTGGGATGTACGTATTTGTCATGCAATGTCCTTAAATGCCTCAGCAAATTACTTTTTACGTTAAAGCCTTTTTGACAATAGGAACAAAGAAAAGGCTTCTCTCCTGTATGCGTTCTTTGGTGAATTACCATCGATGCATGACTTGGAAATTCTTTTTGGCAAATGTTGCACAACTTTTGATGACTGTGAACCCTTTTCGGTTTTGGCGGCGCCGAATTATTCATCAGAGCCAACTGCTCCTCCGTATGCTCCGTCTGTATATGACGCACCCATTCTTGTGGCGTGGAGTACATGTTACCGCAGAGATCACATTTTAAGGGTGGGAAATCTTTACTGTCATCGTCGACGTCCCCCTGCAAGAAAATGTGCGAACGCATCCAATAGAAATATATACTTCCAATATCTAAGATGTTTGGACAATGTTTAGATAATACTCTTACCTTCCTCTTTCTTCTTCGATTTTCTGTCATATCGGCATGTGTAAATTCAATGTGTCTTACCCAGTCCGATGGCCGATTAAATGTTTGACTGCACATGTCGCAAGTGAGCGGGCTATACTCTTCTTCTTCATCCGCGCTATGTACGATTTCCTGACGAGAGTAACAATTCCGTTAAACGTATTCCATAAAAAACAGATACTTTTTCAGTAAGTTCATCAAATTATTTTTGAACTACAAATTATTGCCTTTATCCTACCGGTTTTATGTCAATCTCATGGTCTATCGTCAGTGAGTCCGACGGATCGATAGTTTCCTCCCAAATTGGTTCGTCTTTCACTAAAAGCTCCAGATTTATCTCGGTCTAAAAGACGTGACAAAATGAACGTGACTACCATGTTTATCGTACTCGATGAATGCTATTTTCTAGGCAAGGTCATATCTTACGTTTTCTCCATCCTCGCTTTTAGATTTCTTGGACTCGACATCGCTACCGGTGCTCTTCCTTTTCTTCCCGTTGGCCTCCACATTCTCTTTATTCTTATTCTGTTCGTTATTCTTATTCTCTTCCAGCACCTTTTTAGTTTCCGGTTCGCTGATCTTTTCGTCGGTCTTCTCGATACTTTTCCTTTCTGAGGTAGGTTTCTGAGGTTGAACGTTGTCTTGCACCGGCGTAGTCTGTTGTGCATTTTCGGCGATCTTCTCCGTGCTCGGCTGAACCAATTTGATCTTCTGAATCTGTCCGGTTAAAGGTGGTTGCTCCCGTTTATCTCGTTCCACTTTTTGGTTGTTCGATTGTATATTCTCCTTTTTGCTTCCAGTATTGGATCTCCATAGACCGCGGACGCGCAATATATCGCCCGCTTTTAGTACACCCTCCAATTGATCGTTCGTCACTGTAGCCTCGCCACTGTACATGTATTGAATTAGAATTTTTAACGTGCGATAGCCGATCTCCGTTGGCAGAACCTGTAACGCATATTTTTAATATTTATTTATCTCGCATGAGTTGTCCATTGGACCGCGAGAGGTATGTATGTATGTACGAACCACGATTATTGGGGCATTCGTGTTTGCACCAAAATGGCATGTTTGAAAAATATGACTGAGGTACGAGGAGCAAGCAGCAAGGACAAATCGATGAGCAGCCACGTGCCGGCCACAGGACGTGGCTAACAAGACATCTGCGAAGGATTCCGAGTGGAGTAACGTCGCGACGGAACTGTGCAGATGCGCGCCATAACTGTGCCACTTTAGTTGATAATTTTCCGAAGCGGCGATGGCCATTTTTTCTGTGTTGTTGACAAACAAAATAAGATTGTTCACAATTCTTACTAAGAAATTATACTTATGAGCATGTATACATGTTTACTCGAACTATTTATCAAGCCTGTTGCGTCGACCGTCTCGTATACGTTTTGCATAATTTCTATTTCAAGATTTTATTAAATGATGTATTTAACATAAAATTGCTGGACATTTAAAATTAAAAACAAAATGACGTGATTATTGATGATTTAGGATTTTTAAATGATGCTTTACATCCAGATTCAATGAATTTATTTAATTCTAAATTGAAAAATAATATTTCGATTCACCATATCTCACCGCGCTCGAGTGTCTAATGACTTTTCAGTCTTCAAATAACGCATAACAACTGTCCAAGACATTTCCTTCGATCGTATTCAGTTTGCGACGTTGAATAAATATTAACACATTAAAATGTCGTAAAATGAAAATCCTCTCGACTGGTTCGATCCAGCTGCGGATCAAATGCGATGCAATATTAACGAGTTCGAATAAAACGCTGCCGTTAATGAAATAATTACGTATTCTTTTCGCCACCCCATATTCATACTCTGGTCTAAACTTCTGGCAACGAACGTCATGCACGTCACACACAACGTCTTTGCCGAAAAAGTATACGCAGGACGAAACTTGGTCGACGCACACAAAGAGACCAAGGATCTTAGATCATCCTCACAGCGAGGATCATTGATGATCAATGTGTGAACGAGTTGCACAACATTGTCGTCCCTCGCGAGAACGTCAAAGCCGAGAGGGCAACGAGTGAATCTCGGCCGCGAAGTATTTTACATCGCGTCGTTAACGCTGTCAACGTGGTTCGTTACCTGACGACATCGGCTAGAACTTGGTATACGCGTCACTCGACTTCACGGTCTCGCTTCCTTGGTCACTCTCCCGTTCGCTTCTTATTTTAATTGCACACGATTAATGTTCGATGAAGATTTTGCGGCACCGCACGCACAGTGTCTCGCACGCGTCGTTGGTGTTTTGAAAGGCGCTTCGCGCGGATACGGGCCACGGGGCAGATATGAGCATCGAACCGCCGCGTAGGGGCCTAAAAATCGATATTTCGGTCTTTGCTCCATCCTCTCCGGCGGTGCAGCCGTGGTGCTCGCTCGCTTTCGCGGCTAGGTAGGGTGCCCCCCTGTTCATCATCGATTTTCCCGGCTACCAATCGCACGCATCCATTTATCGCATCGATCGCCCGAGCTGATTTCAGCGTTTGCGTCCGTCCGTCCATCCGCCCGCTCCACGATTCATATCCCGTGCACCCCGCCGCACCCGGCCCCTCACCCCGGCCACCCCGTCTCATATCCAATCCTCTGTTCAACCTCCCACCCCGAATGCGCTACCTCGTCGGCTACCTTAAGCTATACAGACAAGGCTGAACCAGCTGAACGCGACCCTTCACTCTTCACGATCCTTTTCGTCAACGCTGGACACCGCAGTGTCCCACGGGTCTGAACGGGACTCAAGATTTGACTTTAATCTTCGTTGTCTGTTGATACATCTTTCCTCTACCTCGCGAACCATTTTCTACATTCCATTCTATAAGCCTATTTATGCTTCGTTGCAAATTGTCAATACATAATCAAAGAAACTGATGTCGATATATGCATGCATAGGTATACATGCATCAAGCGTTTGTATTAAAAAAAAAGTATTCATGTAACGATTTTGTTAATGAAATCAATCTCTTACGATTATATTTCTTGAACATATTCTTTTTTCTCTGATAAACATCGTCCTGCGAATAATGTCTTCTCGAAAATCATAGTAAACGAAAATCAATCGTGTTTTTAAAACTTACCTATTGCATTTTATGTACTTCTACTCGAACAATACTTCTTTTTATAAATCATAAGTTATTCTTCAAAGCTAAAAGGGTATCGTTAAACCGATAACAGCAACGTGAGGTCGATTTTTTAGAGAAATAGTTCATTCACTTGGAATCGTTGATCTATAGATCTATGGGGCAGTATTACGGGGTTAGTTTATATAAAATTTTAGGATCGCGCGTCGCTGTTCTGTTCTCAGGCATACCCGAAGATGGCGTTTACAATGGGATTCTTCGATTTTCAAGATTTTGTTTGATTGTGTGCCCGCGTACGTGTGACGATGTACTGCATTGCGTCGACGACCTATTTTGCAATAGCAGTGATAAGCTGCACACCCTCCTACCCTTAAATAATCAATTCCATGCTTTCCAATAAATCGCTACTTCTTAACGAATGATTTTTATGATTTACTTTTTGTTTCCTGCAGGATATCTTATCTCCATCTGGTCCTAGTGTCTTTAAAATCTTGTACAAGCAATAAATTGTTGATGCAAATCACTCTATTATTACTCGCATAGTTCTCATTGATAAGACACGATTTGTCACCAAAGATATAGGAGTATCTTTCATCATTATCGATTTTTCGATAAAAGCGCTCACTCTTGAAATCCGAAATCAGTTTTGCTCGAGGTCACGTGGCAACAGGCTCACGTGGCGTTTACGCATACCCCGTTAGAGGGAAGCACGGGTGATCTCGAAGAGCGAACACTACGGCCAACTACGGCTAACAATCCTTCCTTTCCCGTAAATACTTACATTCATTTTACATACATAGATACAGGGTACATTGCATTATTGTCGTCGAACTAAGGTCGATTGACCGAAACGAAGCAACGGCTTCTTAGAACGTGATGCACTACGCGATTCTGAAGGCCGCGGCTAGAACGTATGAGTGTTGTTTGTATGTCATTTTCGAGTGACCTAGTTTACAATTGAATTTTCCTCGACGATTTTCTTCAACTATGATTCCGCAGTGAGTGTTCCCGATGTCCGTGGCCTCTGCGAGACAGCAACGATGCTGCCTCGAAAGTGACTTCATGCTTGTTTGCAGAATAAACGAATGATTTTGCTTAATTATCCCGGAATGCGCATTTCTGTGAGATATGACTGTCATCCTCGGTTCTCTAAACGAAACGATAAGGTTAAGCATATGCACTTCGCAAGTGTTGAAGAACGATCTCCAAGTCTGTGGTACATGGACCTCTTATTTATGATAATAAAAGTGCTTGTGAACGAACGTGAGTCAATTTAGTTGTGATTACAGTTCGCTGAAAGTGAACAGTGGGCCAAGATGAAACATGATTCTTCAAATTCTCGTACAGTGACATTAAATAAATACTGCATGGCCCTGATCAATTATCTATTGCAAATTGGGCGTTATGTATTTGTACACATGAGCAGTGTATAAATCAGTTAAAAAATGCCACATATAACGAGAAAATGGGAACTTTTCCCAGGCAGAAATCGGTTCTGTTGTGATGGTAGAATAATGATGGCACCGCAAACGGGGATGTTTTATATGACTGTGTGCCTCATCCCTGGAACAAGTGGATTATTTTTTGCTTTTGAGTAAGCTCGCTCTTCTTAAATGAATATGGGAATACTGTCAAATGTTATTCTAATACCTTTGTCCATTCCTTTTTACAGTTGTCCATTTTTAGCAGTTCACATAACACCTGCTATACCAGTTGTTGGTGGACTACTATTCATTTTTGTAATGTCTACTTTATTTAGAACAAGTTTTAGTGATCCTGGAGTTATTCCAAGAGCAACACCTGATGAAGCTGCCTATATTGAAAAACAAATTGGTACATAAAATGATATTTTCATGAAGGTAATACTCTATTTGAATAATTATGTATAATTGAGTTGTATTTTGTTGCATGCTGTGTAAAGAAGTACCAAACAATGGTAATTCGAAAATGTATAGACCACCACCTAGGACTAAAGAAGTATTGGTAAAAGGGCAACCAGTAAAATTGAAATATTGTTTTACTTGCAAAATATTTCGACCTCCAAGAGCTTCGCATTGTAGCTTGTGTGATAATTGTGTGGGTATGTGTAAATTTCTTAATACTGTAGTGTTTACAAATCATTTTTATGAAAACCTAGATGCATACAATCATTATTCTTTTAGAGAGGTTCGATCATCATTGTCCATGGGTGGGGAACTGTGTTGGCCGAAGGAATTACAGATATTTTTATGCTTTCCTTGTGTCTTTAACATTTCTCTGCGTTTTTATATTCGCATGTGCTGTCACGCATTTAATAATGCGTAAGTACCCATCAATAAGCAAAAGGTGAAAGGTTGTTAAGGGTGTTATAATTGTTCAATTAATTCACAGTCACAAGAGACGATAGACCATTTTTAGAAGCAGTGAGACTATCACCTGGAAGCGTTGTAGTAGGAGTTATATGTTTCTTTTCCGTTTGGAGTATTCTCGGTCTTGCTGGATTTCATACATACTTAACTACCAGTAATCAGACAACCAATGAAGACGTAAGTACATCGACTATTCAAATTAATTATACATTACCGAAGTTATTAATCGATAAAAGATCATTGATACAGATAAAGGAATCGTTTTCCATGAAAAGAGGACAAGGAGGTTTTAACCCATATAGTCAAGGAAATATATGTAGGAACTGTTTTTATGTATTATGCGGGCCGTCACCGCCTAGTTTAATTGGTAATTCACTTTTTCCGCGATTCGAACATTGTTTTATCGTTTCTATGTATAATTTCATTTTCATGTATATAGATCGAAGAGGTATTGTAACGCCTGAATATCGAGCAGAACAGGGAAGACCTGGTGACGACAGCGTGATCACCAACAATAAAACATATGGTACCGTCAAAATTGTACAGCCACAGGTACAATGAGTTTTACTACTTACTTCTTAATTTACTTACGCTGGTTATTTACGTATTATCGTTCCGTGTTGCAGTCTAATGGTACAATCGTGCAAACGAATCCTAGCCCAGATCTCACAGGCTCTATGAACAATCTTGTTTCGGGCCAGCATTCGCCGCCAATCGAATCGATAAACGGTGAGTTGAGTCTTTTAAGGTACACTCCTCATTATCCGGAAGATGTTCCGAAGTACCCGCATCAGTACATTAACGATACTTACATCCCGGCGTATCCCCCTCAGCATTGTTTCCAAGAGTCCGTGAAACATGTTAAGTACGACACTGAAAGAGTGAATCCGGACTTTCAAAAATACCCGTGTAGGTGTGAGGAGAATTTGAACAAATATCCTCACAGGTGCCGGGAGGAGTATCATAGATGTTCTGATAACAATTTAATGTATGATCAATGCGTCGGTGATCGAAAGTACGGTATCGATCTTCAAAAATATCCACAAAGATACTCCGAGGACCCTATACGGTACAAATTCGACGATTTGCACGATTATACCGATCTTCAGAAGTTCCCGCAGAGTTATTCCGAAGATCCATCGCGGTTCTCTCAGTCTCAACACACGCTTAAGTATAATAATTTGAGATGCGCCGTTCACAGTTTAAAGTATCCGATATCGAAGAACCTCTTGTCGACTGTCGTAATGTCGCGAATATTAGGAGCGGGGGGAATGCCGATTATCGGTCAACACGCGATAGGACTCGCAGTGAACAGATTCGGTTCGGGACCTTTAACCAACACGTTTTCTTACACGGACAATTCTTTATGTCCGAGCGACGGTACCGAGGAGGACCTCTTGAATCATAGATTCATTATGAGTTCGATGAGCGATAACGATGATATTTAATGCTATTCGTAATAGTTTATCTCATTCTTTATCGAATAATATCATAAAATTAAACGGCTATAGCATACTGGTTAGCGAAACTCTTTTAGTATCCTAAAATCAAAATAATCTAAGTTCTATTCATTAACTTGGTAAACAAGATTTTAATATGTATTGTACATAAATATTAGTAAGGCTAATAATGATATACGAGAGATATTAATAATATTAAGGAACGTAAAACTATTATTATGATGATTGTTCACGTTTTCCTGCTAGAGCCTAGAGCATATAAATTATTATGGGGGATGAAAATGAGTCAAGTTGAATTTGATTGTTATTGAAATGGATTTATTTATTTTTTGACTCTTCAATTTGGTATCGGTCGTAGGTATTCTTTTTAAGCAACGGGAATAAGAAAATTAATATTCTTGTTATAATGTTATATATATATCTTGACTGAGAGAAGGACTGAAACATTAGTTTCATTGGTACCTTCTATATTTTATATCGAAATATGTCACGAAATTAAGAAAACAATCGTTTGCTTTTATACTATTCTTATGTGATTTGATATTATCTTGTCATGTTAATCTTTAAGATAAAGGAGATTGATAAGAATACAGATTTGAACCGTCATCAGATTTATAATCTAGATAAATTTAAGTTCTTTACCGTTTAGTCATATTTTTACATAATTCAATAAATTGTATTTGTTTGTTGCTTAAATATTACGTCCTGTTATCGAGGGCTCAGAGCATATACCATTTGGTAAGTTAATTTTCTCTTATTCCATTCGTCATTGTGTGTATGTTTAATACGAATGAATTGATATTAATAGCTGTTAATACACACGATGTAGTTACACTACCTTACACACAATGCATATTTTTTACACTATTGGAAAACTAATTTCGAAATCTATCCCTTCAAGGGTTCTACGGATTGTGACTAATTAATTCAGGTTTTCTATTACGGTCACTGGGATTGTCAAAGTGCTGTGTACATAGATATGTGTCTATTTATAAAATAAGTTGCACATAATTACATGTATAGAAAATATTCTGTAGATACATTTTTTACAATCTTCGGTTTCAACTAGATATACTATTACGTGTCACGTTATTGTGTACGTCCGATTTTATTTTATGCGTAACGCCGCACATTTTCAAATATTTATGTTGCTAATAAGCATTGATAACGGCTTATTGGAATTGAATGGCAATTGCTGGAACTTTAATATTTTTTTCGTATACACGGAGTTGGCGTAACATGTTATTTAGCGTTAATCGTTGACTGCATATTTTGCTTTTAGGTAGCACTACGAACAGTGTGAGTCAACTTGTTACGAATGAGGTCCCGCTAGCATCACTTAACATAGCTCCAATTGATATTGATGAAATTGCTCCGCTGCCTTCCCGTCAGAGTATCGTGGTCTCTTCCGCGTTGGACACGTCTTCTATACCTTCGGTAACTGTAACGACACCATTGTCTGCGTCCAGACTCCGACTGTTACAAGATACTACCATGATAGAGTCTGCCTTAGACTTAGATTCACTGGAAGACGCCAGCGTCGGCAGAGGAAGTCAAGCGGGTCTTATCAAATTGGGAGCTGTATAAAAAAAAACTTATACTTCTATCATTAACTCCTTAATAGACGCTGCCTCGAAACTACTGATTGTTGATTAAGTAATTTCGCGTCTACTAAGCACGCGTACAACGTAATTTCGCGTCTACTAAGCAGGACATCATTTCAATTAGATCGATAGGTGTTCGAAGTCGTCAACATTTACTGAAGGGTAGTGCAGGTCGAATTCTCATAGCATATTCATTTGTACTTTCTTTTCTTAAAGTCTGATTACGTTTGTAGGTGCACAAACCGGTGTAAAAGTTCTAATGATTTTACTTGAAGGAGCAAAGATAGTGATATAGTAGCGTACATATTTTGTTCGATCTGTACTATTCGTTTGTTATATCTACCATTGTTAATTGCATTCCAGCCATTCACATCTTTCATTCTAAATATAGTTCTCTATCCGAGATATATATATATTAGTTATGTATAAACGGAAGATTATAAAAATATTTGACGATTTAACATATTACGATTTTCTTAATACTAAACGGATCATACGCGGGGTGAGGAAAATGTACTACTTAATGACATTAATATAAATTTATTTTATCTTTAATTTTTTCCGCGCGAATCGTAAATCTTTTTCTTCTAATTGGAATAATGTTGGCGCTCGCAAGCATTGTAAGGATTCGTCGTTAAATATTGATTTGACAATAGAAGCAAAAGGTGTGTAGTTAATGTGTGTGTGTATGTATGTGTGCACATTTATATTATAAATGTTCATACGCATTTAAATACGGTTCGAACCGCACTTTGAAGGAATCGAAGAATTTACAAGTTTTAAAGAAATGACAGATTTGATTTTATTATCGATCATTTATGGAGAGGACGTGAACTATTGTTTTACATTAATTTTTCGCATTGATAAACGAGTATTATCTCCTTTATTCAACCTGTAACGTTGTACAGTGTAAAGAGAATTTTGTATATATAGACATTTTCACACATAGACGTTAGTATAGTTTTGCAAGCGTTTTACCAATTTGTTAAAGCAATGTGAATTGATCCAGCATTTAAAAAAAAAATAGACATATATACCACTGCCTAGATTATAAATAATTCGTGCATCGAGATTGCATGTTAATATTTAATTTGATGTAATCGGAAGATAGATATTATTTATACAACGGAGTAACGAAAGAATAGGTATGACACTACTAATAGTCGTCATTTTAATCTTTAAAAGTTGCCATCGCGCATTGACTTTAAGAGCATCGTCTTTTTGTATATATTGCGAGTGTATGATATTACATGTACATATTGTGTAGATGTTATTATAATATACTACAAGTTAAAAATATATCAGTATGTTATGTCACATCGAACCTGCTTAGCAATTTATTAACGGATGTAAAATGTCGCTGCACTATTCGTTTATAGGACGTAATAGAAATAAATACAGAATTGAACACAGTCCTTGATAATTAAAATTACTTTTATTTTTGTTAGATGTATATAAAAAATATTTAATTCGGTTCATCATCGGTGAATATCTTTGAAGTATATGTATTTCGTAAGACACGTAGATCAATAATTTAATTTCTTTACATAATAATTTACAACATATTGTTTCCGTTCGCACCCACCGCTAGAATGATTTGTTAAAATATACAGACTTCGTATATTACACGTTTTAGTAAAATATAAATTTGTTCTCTTATAAATACATGGATTGCATATTAATAAAGTTTGTGCACTATAATAGCAAGGATCACAATTAAAATCGCAATGCCGAGACCTGCGATGTATACTTTCATTTGTCGATTTTCCGAGGTATCTGTACCGAGATTAACGGCCTTCACGTCTATTTCATTTTGCGCATAAAATTCTCCAGGATCTGTTAAAAAAATGTAAAATATTATGTATATTTATATATGGATTTAATTAAAACATGTGATAGTTACCTGCTTGGAGCTCTATGTCTTTTTGGACATTACTTTCTTGGACTTCTAAGTCTAAGAGCTCTTGCAGCGATAAAAGTGCTTCTTGAGGCCCTTCGCCAGGAAACAGATAATCTGATAACGTTACTTTACTATCAGGCAACGCTATCAGTACTCTTCTTGGGGGTTCGTGCAATGTTATATTTTCTGAGTTGAAAGAACGCGATTAATAACTTTATAGGTATTTCATGATTTTGCATCGCAATAAGTACCTTCCGGAGATCCAGCCTCTTCATCAATTAAACTGTCCCAATGCATTTCCAATCTACTCGCTAACGACCTTATTATATCTTGTTTTATCGCAGTATTAGCTTCTTCGATGTTTGCTTTGTGATGAACAAAAGTCCTGCTTACTAATTGACCAACTAAACGTATCGATGCGCTACACGGCGTTATCCTTACATCAGAGCTGGTGTTATTTTCTTGCTAAGAATTCATAAAACAATTTAATGAGTCTCGACTTCCACTATTCGAAAATATGATCAATAATTTCTACATATTTTCTGTTACTTACACACGGAATGTATAAGTTAATTTGAATTGATTTATCGTCATTATTTTTATCGTTGTCTTTACAGTTTTTCTCATTTTTCTTGCTTTTACTAATTACTTCTAATGTATCATTCGCAGATCGAACTTCTCCTTCTATAACAACGAGGGAAGATTCAATAATTTCTGATATACTTTTCAAGATATCTTGTAATTGTCTCTTCAGAGTTTCTGGATTCTTATTCGCGGAGATAAGAAATAAACGATCGAAATCTACGAGTGTTTCTAGCTGATGCCATTTCGTTGTTTTGGTTTGGAACTTCCAATCTGCTGGTTTCATCATACCAGTTTTATGCGTTTCAACAGATTTGCACGTGTATCTAAAATAGACAAGCTTTACATCTCCATCAAGGATAAATTGAACAATGTCGTACAGTTAATTTTACTTTTGTGTAATGCTGTTCAAATTCAATATAAGATGCTCTTCGTTATTGTTCCCGCATAGATACTTATTATGAGACAAATTTTTATGCATTGCTACCAAAACAGATCGAAATTTGTGTGCGTTAGTAGAATCGTTTATAGCGTCTTCTGGACCAACAACAAACGTGCCAAGTACACGCATACCGCCAGGTAGCATTCTAGTTACCTAAGAATGTTATTCCATTAAAATCAATCGTATTCATTGAAATTGTTTCGCATTAAAGTAGACATACGTGCTTCGCATGATCTGCAACCCAACTCTCAGGTATATCTTTCACCGATTTAATGTGACTTTCAACTGTGTTTTGTTCAGAATCTGTTGGAGAACTAAGCACTGACTCCTCCACAACATTTTTACCAAGCGGCGGCGGAGTTTTCGCTAAATGTACAATATAATCCTTCTGACCAGTACTCTGTAATATGAAAGTCACAGCACAGAATATTCAATATTTGTGGGAGAAGCGTTCTAACCTTTCAGTTAAACAAAAGTGTAACAGACATAAAATGAATTTGCATTTATCGATGTGAAAATTTGACGAAAATGTAATAAATGAGATGACTTGGAAGAATGTCAATTAACAATTGCATATGTTAGAGTGAATGAGAACAGTAGACATGACGAGAAACATACAAAAATCGAACCTGTCCCAAAATTAATCCAATCGTGTATTCGTCAGGCTTCGCTAACGACATTAAATAATTGTAAAGACGTTCCTCGGCATATACGGTTCTCCCCATTGTTTCTTATAACTCAATAAACACGTAAAACCGAAATCCACCAGCTGCCTGTATTACCGTTACTTTAAGATAGCAAAGCGCACACGCGTCGCATGCATAGCCATCAGGAAAAAGATCTCCGACTTATTTTTGGAATATCTCGACTTTTAGTATAAGGATTTTAATGAACCAGCACTCAAATTAAAGCTAAAGGTTCAGAAAATAATCTCCTTTTTGTTTCATTGTGACAATTGTTCTAGTTTTAACGTTATAAGCATATATTCCAGAGAATAATAATTTTTTGTTATAACGGCTAATTATTTATCGTTTTAAAGTATTTAGAAGAATTCTTTGAATTTTCAGCTGTAATTAATGCGCTGGTTTATTAAAATCCGTTCAATGCGAGAATTTGTATAAAATCTATCATTTCGTTATCACGTTCAGTAGGTGCTGCCCCCATGAAAGAAGGCAGAACTGAAACACCCGCAAGTACGAGATTTCAAATAAAGAGTTACTTAAAAAATAATGTTTCTTTTGTTTAAATTAATTTGTAGTGTTCTACAGACTTTCAGGTTTAATTCGAACCCTAGAAGGTCTAGATTAATTTACTAAAGGCCAAGATATTAATAATATTCTGTGATTGATTAAATTATATTTGTAAAAATGAAATAATTGACAAGGAAAGGATTGTATTTCTTAAATATTGTAGTTTATTTTCAATCATCCTGTCTTATGTATAACTAGATATACATGGACGTAAATCACAGCACAACTGAACATCGTATAAATACTTTTATGCATTCGTAGGGATTTGTTCTTTATATATACAAGATTCACAATTAACGTGACAATTTTCGATGCAGCTGAACTCCCAACTAAACATACCTATGTTACATGAAGTCAATTGAGATTCGAAACATCGACAGCTTAGAATCTACAGCTAGTAATTACTCGCAATCAGCTTGAAGAGAATTCGTGTCAAAAGAACGCGTTTGTAATTGTAAAATGTTTAAGACCGCTAATTAATCAATGTAAGAGACGAAAAAGTCTTTGAGATGTTAGTAACGAGATTCTCGATGTAGGATAATTCTACGCATTACACTACGTAGTTGAAAATTGGGAACAAGTGTAAGTACTTACTTTTGTGTTTCGTTTAATCGATCTAATACCGTGTGTTGAAAGGAATTACACAAATCGGCCTGGAAACACGTATAACTTCAAACTATCATCACTCATGATTCAGTTAGGCGTTTCTTTTGTGTAAGCTCCGAGGGAACGGCACAATGAGAACGTTCACAAAATAATCATACATGTACATTAGTGTATAGGATATATCTTTCATATGTACAAAAACTTGTATACGAAATCGTTTCCTAAAGATCGTAAAAAATATGTTAGAAGGAATAGCTTTAGCGAGGACAAGAAATTCGTTCCTGGAAGCTAACATTTATAGTTACAAGTATCACGTACAGCCCTCTGCAGCGATCAGTTTTAAATGTACAGAGTGTCTCGATGGTTCATCTTGCCTCGAGACACTTTACACATCCTTCCATCTCGAACGAATTTACAACGATTTCAACTCGAATGATAGAGATAACAATTGGCACTAGATCCTTTCGCTGAAGCGATTGTCGAACAGTATTTAAACGGGATGAAATATGCGTTTTGCAATTACTCTTGTGCCCGGAAAATAACGCTTTGAAATTGGTCTTATTCTAACTTGCTGGCGACCTAGTAAATTATTAGTATTTCTCATAAACGCGTTTTCTCTACGTTTAGTCGCTGACTAGTCGACATACATTTTCCAGTTTATATAATGAACATATAACTAGTTAATTCTTTTAACACCTCGAAATTGTCTATTAATTATTTGTAACGTAAAATGGATTGAACAGATTCAACGATGTGACAATGGTTGTAAATGTAAAATGCGAATCAAATTTTTATTAAATAGGATGATGAGTTATTCGAGCGGACGGATAAGGGATTTTTAGGAAAGCAAGAGAAAGTTTCTTAAAGAGACTCTAGAAGTAGTAGTAATCTATGTTAATCCTAGGTAAGATACTTTCGTGAACGATAATCTAAAGCATAGTAACATTAGTAATATGCGAACCTCTTTAGTTTAATTTTTACATTGTGCTTATAGGCAGGTGCACGAAATTCATTAATTTTGTATTGCAAAGATTTAGTGGATAGTTTGTGGTCGTCGGACGCTAAAATTTCATTTAAGCGAACGTGCAATCTTACAAGCGATTGAAACGGTTTAAAAATCTTTGACAGAACACTTGAGAACACATTGTGACAATTGTTCTAGTTTTAACGTTATAAGCATATATTCCAGAGAATAATAATTTTTTGTTATAACGGCTAATTATTTATCGTTTTAAAGTATTTAGAAGAATTCTTTGAATTTTCAGCTGTAATTAATGCGCTGGTTTATTAAAATCCGTTCAATGCGAGAATTTGTATAAAATCTATCATTTCGTTATCACGTTCAGTAGGTGCTGCCCCCATGAAAGAAGGCAGAACTGAAACACCCGCAAGTACGAGATTTCAAATAAAGAGTTACTTAAAAAATAATGTTTCTTTTGTTTAAATTAATTTGTAGTGTTCTACAGACTTTCAGGTTTAATTCGAACCCTAGAAGGTCTAGATTAATTTACTAAAGGCCAAGATATTAATAATATTCTGTGATTGATTAAATTATATTTGTAAAAATGAAATAATTGACAAGGAAAGGATTGTATTTCTTAAATATTGTAGTTTATTTTCAATCATCCTGTCTTATGTATAACTAGATATACATGGACGTAAATCACAGCACAACTGAACATCGTATAAATACTTTTATGCATTCGTAGGGATTTGTTCTTTATATATACAAGATTCACAATTAACGTGACAATTTTCGATGCAGCTGAACTCCCAACTAAACATACCTATGTTACATGAAGTCAATTGAGATTCGAAACATCGACAGCTTAGAATCTACAGCTAGTAATTACTCGCAATCAGCTTGAAGAGAATTCGTGTCAAAAGAACGCGTTTGTAATTGTAAAATGTTTAAGACCGCTAATTAATCAATGTAAGAGACGAAAAAGTCTTTGAGATGTTAGTAACGAGATTCTCGATGTAGGATAATTCTACGCATTACACTACGTAGTTGAAAATTGGGAACAAGTGTAAGTACTTACTTTTGTGTTTCGTTTAATCGATCTAATACCGTGTGTTGAAAGGAATTACACAAATCGGCCTGGAAACACGTATAACTTCAAACTATCATCACTCATGATTCAGTTAGGCGTTTCTTTTGTGTAAGCTCCGAGGGAACGGCACAATGAGAACGTTCACAAAATAATCATACATGTACATTAGTGTATAGGATATATCTTTCATATGTACAAAAACTTGTATACGAAATCGTTTCCTAAAGATCGTAAAAAATATGTTAGAAGGAATAGCTTTAGCGAGGACAAGAAATTCGTTCCTGGAAGCTAACATTTATAGTTACAAGTATCACGTACAGCCCTCTGCAGCGATCAGTTTTAAATGTACAGAGTGTCTCGATGGTTCATCTTGCCTCGAGACACTTTACACATCCTTCCATCTCGAACGAATTTACAACGATTTCAACTCGAATGATAGAGATAACAATTGGCACTAGATCCTTTCGCTGAAGCGATTGTCGAACAGTATTTAAACGGGATGAAATATGCGTTTTGCAATTACTCTTGTGCCCGGAAAATAACGCTTTGAAATTGGTCTTATTCTAACTTGCTGGCGACCTAGTAAATTATTAGTATTTCTCATAAACGCGTTTTCTCTACGTTTAGTCGCTGACTAGTCGACATACATTTTCCAGTTTATATAATGAACATATAACTAGTTAATTCTTTTAACACCTCGAAATTGTCTATTAATTATTTGTAACGTAAAATGGATTGAACAGATTCAACGATGTGACAATGGTTGTAAATGTAAAATGCGAATCAAATTTTTATTAAATAGGATGATGAGTTATTCGAGCGGACGGATAAGGGATTTTTAGGAAAGCAAGAGAAAGTTTCTTAAAGAGACTCTAGAAGTAGTAGTAATCTATGTTAATCCTAGGTAAGATACTTTCGTGAACGATAATCTAAAGCATAGTAACATTAGTAATATGCGAACCTCTTTAGTTTAATTTTTACATTGTGCTTATAGGCAGGTGCACGAAATTCATTAATTTTGTATTGCAAAGATTTAGTGGATAGTTTGTGGTCGTCGGACGCTAAAATTTCATTTAAGCGAACGTGCAATCTTACAAGCGATTGAAACGGTTTAAAAATCTTTGACAGAACACTTGAGAACGATTGAACATGTAAAATTGTCTTTCAATAAAATACGAGTATACGAAAATGAATGATTAAAAATGATCAATTCCATGAACAGCATTAGTATTGAGTCTTTCATCGTTTGAAACGATGTATGAGAGCAGTCAATGAAAACTTAAGTACACTATATTACGTCCTGTATGATAAAATTTCTTTCGATCCGATAGAAAGTAAGGAATTATATACCTATGTATTTACATTAACAACACTGCTAATATCGTCATTTAGATGAAGTAATGTCACGCGACGAGAGAAGAAGTGAATATTTAAATAAAAATGTTTGAGCGTTCGTTTGTCTTAAAATGTATCGCGCGTCTACTTGTGCGAATTCGGAGGTAATTGAATTCTAACTAAGAAAATATTAACTTATCACAAGTGTAACAGTACAATATACACGCAAGAGTAAGGATAACTCACTAGAAGTAGAGCGTTTAATTATCCTTTCTTTAGTATCCCGGAACTTCGTTAGATAAAGAGACAAGATTACCTTGCTCCGTCGGGAGAGATAATTAAATGTCCTGTCTCCGGTTAGTTATCCCAGACATCGACTCAATCCTTCGACACTTTCTTTCTCCCTCTTTCTCTCTCTCCTTCTCTCCTTTGGGTAGACAATGATATAATCATACGTAGAAAATGGTGTAATACCTATGTACATCTCTTCTCTTCTTCGACGTCTTCCAAACGAAGTCAACAAGATTGAGCATCGGGCAGGCATAATGTACACGTACTCGTTGATTAGGAGCGTCGTCATACGACTTGGAAGACTCCGTCGAGGATTCACAGCTTCACTCTCCCCCCTTCGCGTTACAAGTCCTGAGTGCAGTTCTTTTTTTCTCATCAAGAAATCCCTTTAAAAGTTTCCAACAGTGATTATTTTTAGGATCAATAGCCCCTCGAGTCTTTGTCCATCCACAGCAAGCTGAATCGGTTCTCCTCAGGAGCCGGTTTCTTCCGGTCTTTCTGTTCGAAGATACCCTTTTTGGGAAGAGTTCTTTCGGGACTGGGACTAGGGCTAGGTGAGGAACTCGGCGATCTTGAACTACTTGAGCTCGAGCTCGACTTCGACTTCTCCCTCTTCTTCTGCTCCATTTTCTTCTGATGTTCGTACAAGGGTCCGCGGATGATTTTTAGGGTGGTTTCCAGCTCATATGCACGGTCCTTCAAGAGGTTGTATTGATTCAGATCGATACCCATTTTCTTCGCCCTTTTGTGAAGCGTGATTAGTTGTCGTCTACTCAGCACGTCTGGTAGCATGTATTCCTGTCAACAATTTGAAATAAATGATTAAATAAAAAAAATTATAATATTTATTAAATCCGGAAGAAATAATGTGTTAAACACGAACGAGTCTACCCGCTAGTGATTCGATTGAGTTATTAGTACGTGGAAAATTGAATTTGTGCTACCTCTTTCGTTACGACGAAGTAGATGAACCAGGCCATTGTGGTGCCATAAGTCACGAAATACGTAACTGGTTCCATTATGTCCCAGGAGTATTCCCACCAGGTTAGCCTGGCCAAACCGCTAAACTGAACCGACATCAGAACGAGACATACCCAGATGAAAATTTCCGCCCTCCTAATCGCGGTGTTCTCCAATTCTTGCAGCTTCTTTAACGAAATTAAACACGAAACGTTGGCACAATAATTTGCATAGCTAAAACAGCAAATTATCTCCTTTAGAATAGGAGTTTATCGTGATCAATGATTTGTTAATTGCAAGTATTTATCGCTTTGAATGTATGAGCAACGTTGTGAACACCTCACCTCGTTTTCATCCATTGTTCGTTCGCTATCGTTGTTGCGTTGGGAAAGGGCGGAAGAAATCACGCTCCGCATTATATAATTAAAGAGTTTAGAAAATCGAGTACGCGAAATTGCGAGGATATTATTTTAGCAACAGAACAATAGTCGGTTAAAAATAAAAATACGAGGCTTAATTATGCTTATGCACGATGGATAATTAAAACTGAACTGGTTGAGAACGAATTAATTCAGGAGGAGAAAACGAACGATAAAAGAAGGCGGCGTTTAGCCGAATAATTGTGCACGCGTGCCGAACCGATGGAATGCTATGTAACGCTCCTTAAATTTCATTTAGATTAGACGCTCTTCCTATCGGCTCATTGTTACGAATTTAATAGTGGTTAATAGCAGGTTTACGGCTCGACAAGCGAACCCTAACTTCCGAATAGCTGTCTAAGTTTCGAAATGGTGATTAGAAGTTAAACAAAATAGTTCCGTGTATAGTTTACCTGTTCCAGAGGCTCTAGTTCTAATCTGACGGTCTCCAGCTCGGCCAACACTTGTTTTTCCATGTCAGCGTATCGCTCTCGAACGTGAAATGCTTCGTATAGTTGGCAAACTAAAGTCTGGACGTCTGATAACTTCTGAATATTCTCCTACGAGAGGTTTCATACGAGTTTGGCATGAACAAAATGTGAAACACAGGAACAAAGAAGTATGCAAGCTCTAATTCAAATGTGTTCAAATTAATCACTACAGATTAGATCTATGATATCGATTTAAAGAAGAAATGCTTTGATACGTCAAATATAAAAAGTTTACAAATAACGATGTAAAATAAGAAAAGAATTAATAGAGATTTTATATTATAAAATATATGAAAATAATGATTTATTTAAAAATATAATAAAATTTTTCAATAAATTATGTAAATGTTATAAAATATAATTTAAAATAATTCCTTGTACATTATATGCACCTCACCATTGGTTGTTCGTGATGTAACGGTGGCGCGACAAGATACTCCATGTCGTTTATGATCAATCGAAAATCGTCCTCCATCAATGATTCTATCGTGTTATTCGAACCTATCCTGATTCCATCTGGAATCATTGTAAAACCCTTTACGTAAAACGACTTTGTATAGAAGAGTTCGTGGGGAGCGCAACGTCCTCAACTCACCGACGGTTGTCACCGAGGCTCTATCGATGCCACGGTCTTCTCTCTTCAGCATGTGAAGGAAATCGCCGACCGTGTGGGTGATTGGTTTCAGGGTAAACACGCAGTGCTCTCTTCTCGATGGCAAGGGTACCGTGATCCTCGGTAATCCTCGATGATATATCACGGTCACATCTGCAGCTGTACATTTTAGACATAAATATTTTCTCTCACGCACGAGTTTCGTTATGGATTCAATTTTGAAATTGATGCGAGAGAATGTTGAACTACTTTTCGTTATCGAAACAGGTCGGAGTGTAAGTTTCTCTTTTTTCATTCCAACGTCCTAGTCTCGTTTGTAAACTCCTTTCATTTATAAGGAACAATTAATTTGATGCGATTTTCGTTTCTTTCATTCGACAACGAGGTTCAATTGTTATCCAGTTCTCGAAGAAAGAAAAGAGTTTCAGAGTTGTTTTTACGAATTCGTTCGCGTGATGATCACACGATCGAGAGCTGGATCACGTTAACCTGGTTAGCAGCGTATGAGGAAGGTATTAGAGTGTGGAGACCGGAATGGGACGAGTGTATGGATCTCCTCGTTGGAAGCAGAACGGAACCGAGCTCCGGCTACACGATCTTTGGAAACGTGCATCTACGAGTCTGGAACACTGCCTCGGGTGCGAAAACCAACAGAGATCTGTTTGCTTAAAGACTGTTCAGAATCCCCTGAGGGAAAGTTGATTTTCTCTATTTTTATATTTCGAAGGGTGGAAATTGAAGAATCCGAACCTGACCTCGTGCTTCATTTCTCTCAATTTTCTTTCAAACACGGTAGTAGATTTTCCAATAGCAATGGAATGCCCTGCTTGTGCAAGAGCTTTTGAAAAACGTATAATAGCGTGAAACGAACCGGCGGAAGGAATTATGCTCGCTGAGATCGAGCAACGACCGGCCTGTCGATCGACGCTTGCATAATAACATGTGGCTCGGTACGAACTTAATTAAATTCTAGTTCTCTAAAATCTAATTCTGAAGCAGAGTACGTTTTATGGAGCTTCTGAATGTTCAGCATATGCGAAATTAAAGTATCCTAACGAAGAGAAGTTCTATTATATTGTTAAACTGTTTTCAAAGTTGGCACACTGATTTTAACTCTTAAACTTGTCGAGGAAAAATGTCGCAAATTGAATGAAACCGCGTGCGCGAGGTTTCAAAATTTACAGAGAGTTTACGAGCAGTTCCGGTCCCGAGAGGGAAACCGAATGCGAAACAGGTTTCAAACGAGTGTAATTCGCGACTACGAAAATAAAGGTAGTTTCGTTTAATTAAAAATTGGCCCATTGCGTTTCTCTGTAATGAACGACTGCAGCAGGCGCAACGTTTAGCAATTAGTCCGCCCCCACAAGTACGCTGTTCTTCTTGGAAGTGGCAAAGATGCTACCACCACCCGGTTCTGGTGTCGTCCTCCCTTCTTCCTCGTGAAAAGTTCGCGGTGGTGAAGTTTCCCGTTTCTGGTCAGTCGAACTCTGGATTCTGATCAACGAATAAGTGCGCGCGACGTACTACAGGATTTTTCGATTCGGACCGGTGACCATAGAACTGAAATAAGGGAGAGCTAGTATCTCTCTCTCTCTCGTCTGGTGTTTACGCATTTTCAGTGATCGCGTGTGTTTCAGCGATGCAACACTGATCGTGGGGAGTATTCCCCAAGGGTAGGTGAATAATCATACAGGCAAAACTTGCCCCTTACGCAAAACCAGAATTTCAGGACTCTGTTGTAAAATTAAATGCATTTACCTAACTTTCATTAATGCCTTAATTAGCGTTAATGCATGAGAACTAAAAGTTTGTACATATGTAAAAATTACGGAAGAATTTTCCGCATTGATTCGGGAAAAGAAATTTCGTCAAAAAGCTATGCAGATTGGTTTCTCATTAAAATTCTTGGGTCACGAACCATAGGTTCAGACCCTTTCTGGACAAAATTAACGTAGGAACAACTCTCGTTTCCGTTATAAGATATTTGCTTTCTTATATCCGTTCGTAGTTTGATCTGAACTGCGAGAATGTACCAATTCCTTTACGCCATCTATGCATGGACACTGCCATTAAATATTTGAATACTGGAAATACATTAGGGAAGCATCTTTTTAATACATTATCCTCTTATATTTAATACAAACATCTCTTAATTTCATTCATTGATTGGGAACTGAATTAATAACGCTGCATCGAAACACAATGATCTCAATCATAAAATTATTGTACGCCAATCGAAGCATCAATATTTGCAATTAGTATTGCGCGTAATGCAATTAATTAATAGTAATTCCGTGTTTGCAAACGTATAGATAATATTGATTGAATGCCGTAGTTGGATACAATTACGTTTTACTGGCGGATGGAGCTTAACAAGAATTTATTAAGTATTAAGTTGCATTGCAATCATGTAATAATATTTAATATTATTCCTAGGTCTCGACGTTTGAGGGTCGACCATGGGTGGAGTACAAAGCGGAACCCATACCCTTGGAGAGGCATTATGGGTGCAAGAGAGGCAACGTCAAAAATGCCAGAGGTCAGTAATTTAAATTTTAACCGTAAATCACGAGTGAAGCCTCGTAACTCCGAGACTTAAGCAATTCATTTAACTAGATCACTTGGAGTAATACGAATTCCACAAGAAGGTTATTAAGAATTCCTCCTTAATTAAGACACGTGTATTTAGTAACAAGACGACAGCTAAGGAGAGATGGAAAAACAAAAGGGAATGAGACAAGGGAAAGAAAAATGAAGTGTACAATAGAAACTAACCGCGGCGTAAGTTAATTGTAGCTGCGCGTTAAATAGAAGGTGCAGAGCAGCAGCGGCGGTTGGCCCAGATTTTTAATGAACTCGAAATATCGCCTGGTAGGCAGAGGCACTTGCTTCTCAACGGTGCATAAATATCAGAGCAGAAACTATACTACGCTGTACCGGTGATGGCCGACGATGATATTACTTTAATCTACTCCCGGCTATCTTTCATTATTCACGTTGTTGTTTCATTGGCCGTTGCTTAAACACGAGGAATTCACGCTAACGAACAATTATTGCGGCGCGCGGTTAGTTTCCGAGTTGCTGCCTTTTAGGAAACTCTTCAGGCAAGCGGCAAGAAAAAAGAACTTGGCCCGATACCGTTCGAACGAGATGCTGCTTCATGATTAGTGGCCGATTAATTGTTAATTAGTGGAATTTCGACACGCTCAGGCTGCGCTTATTAGCGCGGTCGTGGTCTAATTACTCCTGGGACCTTGCTCGCTCGTTCCCGCTTTCGGTTCCACCATTTTTTATAATTCAACCGCTGCGAACCGATATAATCGACGCGCAGGGAGTAACAGGATTTTCGGATAAATTAAACGCACGGAAAATGTATAAAATTGTGAGATGAAAAATCGTACGTTGCAAATCATAAAGAATGTAAGGGGTCAATATCTTCATTCCTATCTGTAGAAATTTCTTGTGTGTATCTCCATTAAGATATGTGAAAAGAAGAAACGGAAAATTTATTCGTTTAGAAAGCATATCAGATAGAATAAAATTCTTCTAATAATCAAGTATCTATTGTAAATTCACGACAAGGCGAATTTCCGAGATATGTGTGCATAGACGGAAATTGCTTGTCGTTAACATGTTCGGCACCGCGAGAAATTTGAAAATGGGTCAGGAAAAAGAAATCCCCTAAATGGTATAATTTTACATATTATGCCCCCATCTAATAGTTATAGCTATCTCTTTACTTGTGATCATTAAAATTGTAATTATCTATACTCGTTAAACTCTTGCACTTTCTTCCATTAAAACCGAAATACTAATTCATAATTGAATTCGGAAATAGTTTTAAAATTTGTAATTTCTCGGCGGATTGCGAACATGTCGCAGTTTCGCTAATTATAAGTGCTTTCAAATTAGATGGGACTTGAGGAATTGGTATTTGCGATGCTAACGAAGGTTTTGCTTCTCGTTACAAACTTGAATTCTATTTAAAGAAGAAGTTTGATGAATCAGAGCGACGAGTAGAATCGGTTCGTGAAGGATCAATATTGATGATAATTTCATGAAAACTTCATATCGTGGCATTAATTATCACGACCGCGGTTAATGAAAAGCAAATCATCGTTCCGGACAGTAGTTCCCGGTGCAATTACAACAGGAACTTCCTTCGGTTTCATATGGTTTTGTATCAGGAAAACATTTACAACAGAAACGGGCGAAAGCGTTCTCGTTAATGCGAAATCATCTTTATGAAAGTTTAAATATTTAATCATTGTTCAATCAATTTGCTTGTTAATTAAACGTACACATTTCTCTTGGAAAAATACGTACTTTTACACAATAATTAATAGGTATCAATTTAAAAAATGTTTTCCGGATAAAGATTTCGTTTATCATTCCAATAAGTAATATATCATTCCATAAGTGTGATTCAACTTTTATTATACAGCAATATTGGAAATTGGAGGGAAATTGAGGAGTAAAGGAAAACGAACAAACGAGCGACGGATCGTTAATTAGCATAGTGATTCGCGAAGCGGATTCGAAAGAACGAAACGCTGTGACAGGATGGGGGAGGAGAGGCAGATACACCGGAACACACCGGATTTCCGTTTTAACGCTCACGTCTCTTTCCCTTTCTGATTCCACGCAGCTGCGTGCAGGACAAAGGGAGCGTGTGCACATCGAAATTTGTTCGCGTCCCGTCCCATGAAACAGTCATTTCTGTCCTGAAACCGCGGAACGACGCGCTGCATTCGCGGATGTGTACGATGGTGATTCGCCATGTTCGCGGTGAAGATCGTTTATTACCAAGTGACGATGGAATTCGTGGACGAGGATGCCAGGTACCGTTCGATTACAAAATCAAAAGCATGACCCCTGACGGGGGTTTGTACTTTTAAGCTGTGATTGTTATCTTCTGTAGATATCCAGCGGTGTTAATGAAATACGTTTTGTTAAATTCATTTTTATAGCGCGTCAGTGAAAGCGATTAATTGGGAGATATCATCGAGTGAAAATAAGAAACGAACGAACGGAAAATGATCTTCATGAAACAGAGATAATGAAAAGAATTCAACTTTTAATTTCCTTTCAAACATTTTATTAAAGCGAGAGTTTTGCTCTCTTTTCGATATCGGCGTTCCTTTTGAGTAAATTCTCGGATTATCAATAAGGGGATTGTCGATCAAAGGATTGGTGCCTTGTCATCGGTTCTCGCGAAATTTCTTTTATGAAGATAGGAACGTGGCCCCCATTGTGTAACTTCCTGTTGTTCGCCGGTGGTTTCGTTTCCTGACCTTTCCGAAGTCAGGAGGAATCACGCGACGGCGATCAACTAATGTTACTTTCCATTTTATTTAACAACTTCAACATAACTCGTCTTCATCATAATTCATAATAACGTTCGTAGTTTTATAGAAAAATCTATATATGACTCGCAAAACGAAAGATTAGAAGTATTCGTTGTAATGGTTATTAAGAATCAATTGGCTGATCGATGGGATAAAAGAATTCACGCTCGATGATCAATTCGCGTTTAACCTCGTCGAATTTCCGTTTACGTAATAATAGGATCGTTACACGCACAGACATATTCTGTTTTTTAGTTTTCGTGACGAGCACAAGAAGTTACGTAAAATAGGCAGCGAGCCTCGAAGCGTGCGATATTAAAATTGATGTCCACATTAGGCAAGAGTGGTTCCTGGCTCGAATAGAATCCTACACGAAATCGTTTCCAACCGTTCTAGTAGTTTTCCGTAGTTCTATTAACCCTCTTCTTGTTCATAATTCAGCTACAATTGCAGAATTTCCATCCTTCATAAAGAATGCGTCAGGGCACGAAATTCCAATTTCAATTAGCGAACCAATTAATGTAATAATGAAGCAATCGGTCCAATAAATGAACAATGGAGTACGCAATGAATGATCGTGGTCACGAGGAAATGTTCTGCCGCGAACCGCAGCCTCTGATCGCTTCCGGTACTTGATTCCAGATATCGAAAGTGATTTCAATCGATTCCGACAAGTCGATAGACGTCAATGACCCTGGGTTCAATTACATACGAGCGGTTGCTCGAATTACTTATCGCTTTCACGAGATTAATTGCTCTGACTTTTTTATGATGAGATCCAGGAATCGTTATTGATATAGGATAGGTATTTCTTCGTTACAACTTATTTCTTTTACGAGTGAACTATTCCACCTGGTTTACAAGTGATTCGATGGGGTTGTTAAGTTTATATGGGGCTGCGTTTTTGTTTTGCATATGTATCCCTGGTAACATGGTGAATCATCGAAAAGGGGTGAAAGGGGGATCAAAGAGGGGGTGAAATCAAACAGCCATTGTTTTTAGTATGTTCTTTAGTTGAGTACGAACCACTAAGAATTTAGTACTTCGTCCTCAGTGTCCTTTCGTCTTCAGGTAACTTCTTTTATTTTTTACTCTGGCGGAAACTGATGTTGCTTCGATGAGGAAAGGCACGAAGACGTGGGTAACGCATTAACTCGTCAGAGAAAGCGTGCGATGGTTGAAGCGCGTGCGGATGAAGCGTTAGCGTGCACCCGGAGAGTTTTTGTCGCTTACACGCATGTCTTTTTACCAAGTTTCTCTAAACAAAGATTTCACGTTGCTCCCCGAAAAGCAAGCTAAGAGAGAAGTAAAAATAGTGGAGTGTGAAACGCGAGTACGGAGGAAATAAAAGCCGTTCGATAGGAAAGTATCGTGTCGTGCATATCCAGGTGACTCGGGTCGTAAGTGGTACCTAGGCCAAGGTGCTTGGCCACCATGGTCACTTTCTTCTTCGCGGTCTCACGTGACACCGCACTCACGACTCGTTCAACGAAGAAAAACGATTTCATATTTAATAAATTCAATTCTTGAACAAAACTAATTATTTTCTTATTGTTCAAAGTGAAGGTTGACGGTTTATGAAAACGTGCCGATTGACACCGTCGTGCTTGATTAAGGATGTATAGGCTATATACTTAAACAATGCTAACATGTTGAATTTGTTATTATGGATTCCTATTACTATTAAAAAGCTACATGCAAAATTTTAAATCAAT